TAAAACTTGAATAAAAGTAAAATAGTTTTTTTTTTATTTATAATGAATTACTTAACAGACCAAACTGAAGCATAATGCAATAAACAAAAAGTTCAATAGAACACCAGGATATTGTAAATTTTTAATTAATTTTATTCAAATGAAGATTACAGTCAATGAGAAACCTGTGATTGTTTTTTCTTGGCCAATTCTGGGATACGCGGAGGAGTGCTTGAAAGGGCACAACGCAGGTCATTTTCTACCTCTAATCTACTACGTTGCTTCGCTTTAATTTGCAACAGAGTTGAAAAGCCTGACTCACAAAGATATGTCGACACAAACGGAAGCAATGCAGGAATAACTCTTTCTGCCACTTTTGGGTAGGAATCGCACATCAAGAGCCAAAATTTTGTGATTGATTTCTCATCGAACATATCTCTTGCTCCCGAATCAGTTTCCCCCCCCCCTGAAAACCTGAATTCCCCCCCTGCAACGGTTTTTAAGAGTCTCAAACCTCATTTTAGTGGGATCATAGAGTGCTGGATTTATTAACCAGAGGATCACTTAGTTCTTCGTGGTGTTGATTCCGACGGTGGTAATAGACTGTACTGACCACAGTCATACATATTAGTTAACGAAAAATCAGACGTTTCATAATACACTCAGTAGCCCATAAAACATGTAGCTATAACTTATTTCTTGAATCCCTCACTGAGACGCCCGTTTTCTCTATCGTCCATTTTCTTTATTGTCCATTTCAGAATGTTAAGATATTGCTTGTTGTGTTTGTATATTTAAAATTACGAACGAATGCGCATGTACTGTATTACTGTTAAGATATATATAACTGTTTATAGCTCAAACATGCAAGATCCATTGAGAGAGATGTTGAAAGTTTCAACTGTATTTACTTTTAGTGAAATTATCAAACAAGTCGAGTATGCAATAGAGGTGAGAATCCTTTCCCGCCCTGTGAGATGTTATGAGATTTCTACTCACCACTGAAGTCAGATTGTTTTGATTCACAGTCATCTGGGAGTATAATTGTCATGGTCACATTGACTGCTAGTCTGTTTTAACCCTGTTGATTCTTATTATACTTCACGTCCGCAAAACATCCCTGGGAAGAAACGCGTTTTTCCCTCTCAACGTTTTACACCAAGGCTCCCTCCGTAAGTCCCCGCCTTGTGAACACAGTTGTCAATACGTTTATTCCACTTTCTATTGGCAAGCTCAATCTTGAATTAGTTTATGTAAATCAACTTAAGTAATTCGCCAGACCTATGTCAACTGAGGGTCATCCTTGAATGTGTAACAGTTGATTTGTTTGTGATTTTTGTCATTGCGTGAGTAGCCACCTCTGGCAACTGAAGGGTATAAGAACCCATACAGAGGAGAGACGTCCTTCCGGTTGCTGCATGGTTGAGCAGTTTGCAACTTCGTTGTGATTGGACACTCAATCCTAGTGATTGACCTTACCCAACATAACGACTGTGCAGTGTGCAATTACCATCTCAGATTGTACGAGAAACATTCAAACTTCTGGAAAACATGTATTTGGGCTTCCCAAATTTTGACTACTCCCTGTGCGTCTACGTCCTGGATTGGCCAATCAGCGGTGTCCCACGGTGGCGTGATACATGCTCTTTTACTGCCGTGCTCTGATTGGCTAACCGAACGTGGCGTGGTCCTCTTCTTTCCTTTTTTCATCCCCCTCATGCACTCCGTTCCTTGAACGGGAGGCGGGACCTAGCGATAAGGTCGATCCGGCAAGGGAACCTGTGATAGTGCAGGGCACCCCTTGTCCGGGGGTCACCGGTAGGTGGCAACTTATATAGACTTAACTTATAGTCACAGGTAACCTGGGCGCAGAATCCTACGAGCCCGACGCCCGCCCAAGAGGGCGGGAGGGCGGGGGTCACTGCTCCCAGGCAGGAGCCCTGTGTTATAGGTAGGATTGGGATGTAATCAGGGAAGATGACTACAAGCATTAGGATTGAACATAGAGATAAGGGACACTCTATTGGAAGAGGACAAAGTGGCAGAAATCACTTATAACAAATTACAAGTCCCATTAACAAGAATATTTAGCACCAACGAAGGTTTCAAAGTAATCTGTAAAGATGACTTTGACTCAGACAAAATCCTCTCAAAAGAAGCCAGAGATTTTTTTTACAATGAAGGACTTGTTGTTGTCATGCCACCAGAACAAAAAGCAAAAAGATCAGTTTTCGTTCGTCAAGTCGACCAAGAGATCGGGAGGAAGACATCTGAAGATCTGAAAAATGAACTGGACCGCCAAAAGAGTTGGATGAAGATCGAGAAAGTTATCAAGATAAAAGACGACACTCATGTTTTCAAGATTACCTTCGAAGAAGTTTCAATGGCTGAAAAAGTATTACAACAGGGCTTTCTAATATTTAACATGTCAGTAACACCTCATCAAATAAAGAAGGAAACATTTATCAGTCTGCAAACTTGCTTTTCCTGTTACAAATATGAAGAACACACAACGAGAGACTGTCCAGAAAAAGAGAAAAAGTACTGCTCAGATTGTGCAGGCGACGACCATACCTACACTGAATGCAAGAACACACATGTTGGCTGTCTCAACTGTAAGAGAAACGAGAATTCATATATAGGACACAGGACGTTAGCAATGGCATGCCCAATAATAAAACACATGATAAAGTACAAGGAACAAGAAACAAGGAAAAAGGAACAAGAAAAGAAGGATACGACATACGTCGAAATTGCCAAGAGAGAGCAATCCAAGAGGCTCACAGAACAGAATCCACCATATTAAACTTAAGTGAACCAATACATGACAAGGTAATGATTAGTATGATCCATGCACATCTGCACAATATCATTGCACCCGGATCATACAATGAGGAGTTAAGGAAAATGTTTAAATTGAATAACCTACCAGAGATGATATTCCCAGAGAATCCAGAATCCGAATGAAAGACTACAGCTAGACAAACAAAGGTTTGAGCAAGGAGCAACAGCTGATACACAAGAAACACAAGCGACTGATAGAGATCCCAGACAAATGACTAGAAGTGACAAAGAGAAGATAGAAATAACAAAAGGACAGACTACAAGACAAAGGATAAGGAGGAGAGACGATAAGATGGAAACTGATCACAATATACAACCTGAATCTGCTGAAGATATTGGATTACAAGTTATCACCACAACAAAACATGGAATCCCAACATCGAGACCAACAGGAGGGACAATAGCAAAAAACTGTGAAGGAGGGATATACAATTGGACATACCAAGAAAAATCCCTAAGCGAAGATTATGTCTGGACACTAATCACTGTGGACAAACTAAAGATTACGACCAATGACTTTAAAATAGTAGACCCGTCATAGTTTAGAAGAGTAAGAAGTGGGAAACAGGATGATAGGTCTCCCCTCCAACTGCCACAATCCAAGTATAAGAAATAATGGACAACAGGCAAACAGTAAGAACTTTAAAAATAATACAACACAACGTGAGAAAATGGAAGACCGAGAGAATTAACCTAAGTAATATATATCAAGTAATTGACCCTGACATTATACTAATAAACAGTCACGGTGAGACAGAAAACAACAACATAAAACTCTTTAACTATTATGTAAACCAAAGAAATAAATCGGGCGAGAAAAATGACAGAGTAGCTATAGCGGTTAAGAGAAACTTAAAATTTAAACTAATCGATGACTTCCAGGATGAATTTCTAGCAATAAAAATAAATACAACTCAAGGAGACGTAATTATTGCTACTACTTCTGCCACCGAGACGACCCTACTTACCTATAGAAAACCTATTAAAGTTGGCTAACAACAGTCATCCGATGTACATCTTAGGAGACTTAAACGCCAGAAACAGGATTTTCGACAATACAAATAATAACGCAGTGGGAAACGCCCTTAATCAATTAATAAACCTAGGGAAAATCAATCATCTAGGGCAGTGGTTCTTAACCTTTTTTGAGTCACGGACCCCTTTGAGAATCTGGCGAAAGCTATGGATCCCCTCCCTAGAAAATTGCACATAAGCACATAAACACAACTTTGCATGCAATGAATATACTTTATTTTTTTGAAAATTCATTGCCTCATACAGTGTATGACATACACAAAGTATGAATAAAGTAAACAATCTTAACAAAGAATTATGTCTCACACTTTTTTATGCAAAAATTAATGGCCACTCCATACAAAAATGAAATACAATCATCTTGTGCAAATTAAACAAAACAAAACTATAATTCTGCTCAAAAGTTCATTTCAATGAGAAGGTTGTTGTTGTTTGGCTTGAATAAGAAGATGAAACTGTGGAGTGGTCTTTGACAAGGTAACACGCATGTCATCTTTGACATCCAATCGATTTCGACTTTTCGTTTTGATAGAAACAAGTGCTGAAAACCCTGACTCACAAAGGTATGTAGTAGCAAACGGAATCAAAGCACCCATAACTCACTTTACCAGACAAGGGTAGGCTTGTGTCAACGCACACCAGAATTCTCCAAGGCTCTTCGAGTTGAATTCATTTCGTAACATTTCCTTTGTCTTCAGGTCAATGAGGACATCTTTGGCTAGGTCTTCATCACTGATACAGTCTATGTCGGCAAGGAAGGGATTACGAATCCATGTTTCAACTTTAAGGTCACCTGAGCAGAAGTAACCCTTGAAAGAGTTCTGCAGAGTATCCCGATGTCTGCAGAATTCTGCCTGCAGAGAAATTGACAGGGCCTTGTCATTCTCGAATCCATCCTGCAGAAGCACTTCCTCTAACATTGGAAAGTTTGCATAATTGTCTGCCTCCAACCTCCTCTTCCACAGTGGCAGCTTGACCAGAAAAGCTTGCAGTCTTTCAGCAGCATCCATAATGGTGACTCCAGGGCCTTGAATCGCAAGATTCACCTCATTCATATGGCCAAAAATATCCTTCAAGTAGTCCAAGCCAATGAATGAACTCCTCACTGTCAAACTGTTCTGAGAGTGGGCTTTCTTTTTCTCTCAAAAAAGTGAAACTTCTGTTCGAAGTTCAATCAAGCGCTTCAAGATTTGTCCTCTGGAAAGCCAGCGAACTTCTGTGTGGTAGAGAAGAACTTCATATTCTGCTCCCATTTCTTGACAAAACCTCTTGAAAACGCGATGGTTCACAGCCCCGGCTTTGGTGAAATTGACAACTTTCACGCCAGTAGACAAGACTTCTTTCAGAATTGCTGGCAGAGTCTTTGACGCCAATGCATGCCGATGTAGAAAACAATGGGTCACGATGACCTGTGGAGCTTCTTTCTTCACCAAAGCAGCAAAACCAGATGTGTTGCCAAGCATCGCAGGTGCTACGTCTGTGCACAGAGTACCAAGATTTTTCTTCCAGTCGAAGTTTTGCTTGGCAAAGAAACTATTCACCATTTCTAAGATGTCGATGGCCTTTGTAGTTTCCAAAAGGGGCTCACAAAATAGCAATTCTTCTTTGATGGCATCATCATGCATATAACAGACGAAAACCAGGAGCTGGCTGCACTGAGAGACGTCAGTAGTTTCATCCAGTTGCATGCTGAATGGAAATGGCGTAGCTTCCAATTCTTCCATTACTTGCTACAGAATCTTAGAAGAAATGTCAACAATTCTAGAGTGGATGACGTCATTTGACAAAGGCACTGCTGCAATTTTCTTCCTCTGCTCCAAGCCACAAACCAGCTCGACCATTTCCAGGGCACATGGCTTTACCAAGGTCTCTCCAATCGTATGTGGCTTCTTTTGCTTGGCAATGTGATAAGCAACCTTATAGGATGCTTCAAGACAAGGCTTTTGTGCTGTGTTGGGGCAAATCCAAGTTTTGGTAAAGTTCCAGCTTTCTCAAATCGAGCCTTTTTTGCACGAAATAGATCAACACTGTCCGATGCATTTTCAGGATGAACAGACGTGAGGTGCTCCTTCAGCTTTGTTGGCTTCATGCTTCCATTGGCAAGAACCTTGCCACACAGGAAACACTGCGGCTTTTGTGTCCCATCACATTCAGCGATGAAAGTAAAACCAAAGGATAAGTAAGCTTCGTTGTACTTCCTTTTCTTTGACATTTCCAAATTGAGCTAGGCCTGCAAAACAAAACAAAATTATGAAATTTATATGGAAAGCAGTAACTAATGAACACAAATTAATAAGCACGACAGATTGACCGACAGAAAGACAGATCGACAGATAGACAGGCAGACAGACAGACCGACTGACGGACAAACCTTCACAGACAGACAGAGAGACAGACAGATAACCCTATTTTCAGTAGCATTATTACGGATTTCTCAAGGTACCCCTCAGAAAATATATGCATGATACTGACTGATGACTTCGTGTTTTCCTACCCTGCTGACGCACCCAGACCCTAACTTTATCCACTCTCTCTCTATTTATGCATCCCTACTCTAACTACGTGCACCCAGTCCCTAACTTTGACCAATAAATAATAACAGACTTGTTGTAAATAATGGATAAAACAAATAAATACAGCCCACCAACCGTTCGTGGTTTTTCACAACACTCGCATGCGCCTTTCTCCATATGCACCCACATACGCACAAAAACATATTCACACACTGTACACCCATCACTCTTCAGCCACACTCTGAAATTGTGGTCAGAAGGCGGTCGGAGGTCTCCAACCTCGGCTGGTACAGCTGTAGTAATAATATCTAAGGCCCTTTTTCGCTACCTTCACCAAAAACATAACCATAGGTAATTGAATATATTTAGGAAAAGTATGTATTTGAAGATACTATGGCCCTCAGTTAAGCCTTACCAGTATATGAGAAGATTCCCAAGCCGTGATAAACCGTGGAAAGTGAGAAATAAGTGTATGTTACCTGACCGTGTACAGCAGCAACCCATGCCACCCTACAGATTTACTGGTTTTCTTCAGTAACCAAAAATACATACATAGCATCTGGAATATATTGACAAAAATAGAACAACTTGGTATAAAAATATAGTGAATATAAATGTTAAATTCTTATCTGACCTTCACGGACCCCCTGAAGCCCAAGGTTAAGAACCCCTGATCTAGGGCCTAACTTTCCAACCTGTAGAAATCACAATACACAATCGACACTAGACAAAATTATTTACCAACAACAAAGCCTTTTTCAATTATCATATAAAACAAGGACCTCTTACAGGTAGTGACCATCTGCCAATTATACTAACACTGTCAACAAACCCCATACAGATACCAATAAAAAAGAGACTGAAAATGAGTAAAACAGACTGGGACAGCTTCAAAGACGACTTAGGTAATCACCATTCGATTAACCTACAAGGGAAAACAACAGAAGACATAGACTCAGAAATGGACAGACTGCACTCAGCAATAAAAACATCTATAATCAAACACACTCCTACTTCACACTTTAGAACATTACCCAACAACAGACTAACAGAAGAAGTTAAATTAATCCAAACCCATTACAATGAAATAAACAGGTATATGGAAAGACATGGCAGTAACAGATGGCTATATACGACGCAGACAGCACTACAGATAAAATTAAGAGACGCATGTAAGGAAGCAAACAATAAAAAAATGGAATGATATTATAATGGCGGCCGACAAGACTAAACACACAAAAATATTTTGGACTTCCATAAACAAGATGATGGGGCATAACAAGCAAAAAACACCATACATTAAAGACCAAAATGGAACAAAACTGTACGAGGAAAATGAATAAGAGTCAGCATTCAAAAGGGAATGGGTAAAAGTTTTAAATTATCAGAAGAGGAAAATGAAGATTTTGATAGTGAACACGAAGAAAGGATAGAAGAAGAAATGGGAAGACATATACATAGAATCACCCCAAGGCAATATATAGACTATAACTTACTACCTAATAATCAAATAATAACCATGGGAGAAATGATACACTGTCTGAGGAAGTTTAAGGAAAAAGCCCCCGGGCTCACAGGTATTACACGAAATTTGATCATGAATCTACCTGAAAACATCTTAAAAACACTATTAAACATTTATAACGCATGTTTAATAACCGGTTGCTTTCCAGACAAACTAAAATATGCTAAAATTATATTTATTCCCAAGGAGGGTAAGGACAATAAGGAAATATTATATTACAGGCCAATATCTTTATTAGAAATTACCGGGAAACTACTGGAAAAAATTTTAAATTCAAGACTTATAACCTTTTGAACACAACATGGGAAAACTAACAACAGACAACATGGATTTATGCCCAATAGAAATACCCTAACTGCAATAGCTACAATAACGGAGATAATTGCAATAGAAAAAAGCAAGGGGAACTAGATCAATATAATTTTAAGGGACGTTTCTAAGGCGTTTGATAAAGTTTGGCATTTAGGCTTAAAATATAAAATATTAAAATTGGGACTTAACGAACACTTGCTAAGAATATTGTGTAACTATTTAGATGATAGGAGAGCACAAATTCAAATTGGAAAGTTTATGGGAACTATGTTTAATCTTGAGAGTGGAGTACCTCAATGAGGATGCCTTTCTCCAACACTATATACAATTTACCTCAGACACACCTCAACCAACCTCCTTTAGCGATTATGTAATGTTTGCTGATGATATTACTCAAATAGTATCATACCCAGGAAAATCAACCCAATTTATAGCACTCTACACGGTAAGAGCGATAAAAAATATAAATGATTTTGAGAAAAAATGGAAAATCAGGACAAATAAGAACAAATTCAAGATAATACCAATTGCCAAGATCAAAACAAGTCCAGTAATAGTCGACCAGGAACTATACCCATTCGACACTGAAGGTAGGATGCTTGGATTAAAACTAACAAAAAGAGGACAGGCAAGAATAAGATTATCAAAAATAAAACGCTTTAAGAACCTTAGCATTAATAACAAAAGAAAGATTTATATAGCCCTTGTCAAATCAATTATGGACTACCCACCCATCCCATTGAACACCCTTAGTAAAACGAGCATTAAAAGGTTACAAACAGTGCAAAATATAGCCCTCAGATTTATATATAACATAAAATATACAGACCACATCAATAATGAACAGCTACACAAGAGAGCAAACCTCCTAGCAATCAATGTAGAAATGCACAACAAAGCCGCAAATATTTGGAACAAAGTGACTGAACTCAACAGAAGCGTCACGGGAAGGCATGATGATGACTCATTATCACAGCAAAGAATACACCCCCTTCCTTTAAATCATCTCTAAAAAAATATATATTGTCTATTTTTGTAATACCTATTCTATATCCCCACCTTTATTGTAACACCGAAACCATTATATCAAGAATTGTCATGTATAGATAGATAGAAATTACCATACTGACAGCTTCTGAGCTCTTGTTCCTATTTAATACAACCCAGATATCTACTCCTCTGTAAAATATGTATACATTTTAATATAAATGTAAAAAAAATAAATAAAATAAATAAATAACGAAGTGATAACCGTGGGATGGTTGTCCGCCGCTCGTTTCCTTATTCACGGCCCCACTAGGGGGGGGGAGATGAAGGTGAGAAGGTCGCTGCTGCCTCGTTGCAAGGCAGACACGATCCAGCCGTCACCACAGCTGTTACTTCACCCCACTGTTATCTTCCAACTGTGGTTGTGTAATCATATGAGGCTCGTGGCCTGATTTTCCAGTCCTTCACTATTCGGCTGTCAAACTCCGGTCACCTACTCCAGCTACTGCCGCCGCTGCCACGTGATCGTCACTTCCTCCACTCCCTATCCACCGTCCGTGCCCTGGCGTCTCTACTGTGTGGCAAGACATCCCCCACCAATGCCGTTGCCAAGTGAGGAAGCTGCCCTGGACCTTCCCCCTGAGAGCATATCACTGCGTTACCAGAACATTCCACCGTGCTGGTTGGGAGGAAGATTCATCTGCAGCCGTAGAAATACCTGTTGTATTGATTGTTTTGTTGTAAGCAATTGTTTGACACCAGTGCTGTTTATTTAATATTTGTGTGAGTAATGTTAGAGTTAAATTATTATGATTATTTTCGTAGTAAAGAGATGTCAATCTCTAACGGTTGTTTGTTTCCCTTTGGAAATCCATGGTTCTTGACTTTCCTTTTTATAAGATCCCGATAAGGCCTTTACAACCACCTGTTATGTGTATTATTCCAAATGATACAAAATGCTACATAATACTTCCCTTAGATAACTGTACAGAAGTGGCGTATTCTTAATGAGTGCAAGGTATGCATTGCATGCCTAGTAGAAAATGTTATGTTCTAAGTAATAAGTTCAATATACAGGAGAGAACATAAACACCTGTATAGATTTCGTAGGTTCGATTTACTGGATAAGAGATATGTACACAGAGGGAAGTACCGCTCCTCAGCTTGGCTGCTTGTCAACTGTTCTATAGACGACGTATGGCAAGTGATACATTAGCAGCTTCCATACGTCGCCAGGCACATTAATTAAGCATGTGGGATATGGTAATTACATTGCCACACGCTGCTAGCTAGGCTGAATAAATAATACATAAATGGAGCACATACATAATATACATACATAATATATAATCCAGCATACATAATATACATACACCTCCCTCCCCCCTATACGCTCACAGCAAAGTCTTGAGCGTACCTTTTCTTTTGGATCCGTTCTGAGCGTCGAGGGACTTCATCACTGGGAAGGGTATGGGACTCAACACTGGTGGCGGGGCCAGCAGAAGGCATTGTTACGGGGCGGAGAAAACGGCGGTTCCTCCACCACACACGACCACTGGGTAACCGCACCTGGTAGTCCCGTGACCTACCGAGACCCATGACTACGCCTACTTTGTCCCAACGTAGGGAGGTCGGGTCCTGAACACGGACTTGGGTGCCGACACTCAACCTGGGGAGAGAACGGGCGTGGTCGTTGTAGCGGGCGACGACGTCCTGAACACGTTCGGCGGCTCGGCGATCACAATCCTCTGTCTTGGCCTGCCACTCCTTGGAGAAGGATTGAGGGTGAGCAGGGACACAAGAACGAAGGGGGCGTCCATACAAAACCTGGGCAGGGGAGCGTCCGGTGTAGTTAGGTGTGTTGCGGAGTTCAAG